AAAAAAAAAAAAAAAAAAAAAAAAAAAAATGTTACTTAACAAGTTTATTAAGGATCACTTCAACATAACTAGAAGTTCCTAATGTGTCTTCTGTTTTTGATGAACATTAGGAAAAATTACGTTTCAGATAGTGTAGCAGTAGTTTATGGTTTATTTCCAGCAAATATATTCAGTTCTTCATTATTTTATTTTCATTGAAGAAAAATAAAAACTGCCAACTGTAAAGTGTGTTAAACTTAGTTTATTAATCATCTCTTATTTCACCAATTGACAATTTCTGATTTTTTTTGTTATGATTTGCTAATTTAGGAATTATAGTATTATGTGGCAATAAAGGTTTTCTGTGGTTGTGTAGTGATTTGGGTCTGTTAACTTCCCATTAGTTGAAGACTACTAGCCTGTTACTTCTCTTTTGTTAAAATTTTATCCTTTTTCTCACTTCTCAAGTTAAGCTTACTGAAAGACTCAGAATAGTGATTATAAAGTGTTTTGTGGTTTCAGTGCTTATATGTGGGCTGCCCCCGCTTTGAGAGGGCAGCCCACCTGCTCGCCCCTGAAGCCCTCCAATATACATTCTGGCTGAGTATCGGTCTCTCTAATTCTTTGCGACTCAGGGCCATCCCTTTCAGATAGTCTAATCAGATATGTGTAGTTTCTCTATTATATTCAAGTAATGGAGTCTCTTGGAGGATTCAAGTTCTTCATTTTTTGTCTATAATTTTATTTACTAATCTTCATGTGCTTTTTTGGGGGGGGGTGTTGGTTTTGCTGGAATAAATTTCCTTAAAATCCAGCAAAAGTAAAAAACTAACATTAAATAATATTTTTTTCCTTTGTTTTAAACATGGAAGGTTGCAAAAGCCAATGGAAGTGTTTGGATTCGTAAGAGACTATGGTATTATTCTATTCTTGATAGATGGAAATGGGTGTTCAGAATGCTAAGGATATTTTTTATATTATCTCATTACAAATATGACCTTTTAACTTGTTGTATGTATGGCAAACTAATTACTTAATATGTTACTTAAGGGCCGGCCCGGTGGCGCACTGGATAGTGCGCCGCTTGGGAAGTGCGGCGGCGCTCCCGCCCGAGGGTTCGGATCCCACATACAGACCGGTTCCCGCTCACTGGCTGAGCGAGGCGCGGGAGCAACACCGAGGGTTGCGATCCCGTTGCCGGTCCCCGGTCCGGTACGGGGGCAACACTGAGGGTTGCAATCCGTTGCCGGTCACGAAAAAAGACAAAAAAAAAGGAAATAAATAAATAAATAAATAAATAAATAAAT